CCCCCCTTCCCTCCTCCGCCCTCCGACCCCTTTCCCCCTACCGCCCTGATTATATGCAAAGCGCTCCCAGTCGCGGTGAGTGACTACCACAAAAGTCACCGCCAACCGACGCGCCGCCGCCACCCTCGCCATGGGGGTGGCTGCAGGTAGGCGGCTGTGGTCGTAGACGCGGTCGGCTGGGTACCCGGGGGTGCGCTTACACTAGAGCGGTGTGGGGGTGGAGGTTGCCGGTCGCTGTCAACGCGGACACCATACGCTCGGCGTATGAGCCTGGCCTGCAGGTTGTCGAGGGCCACAAAGGTGTCCTCCTGGTGGGCACTTTCCCCATCTAGGGGTTGGTCTTGTAGGTGGTCTAAGGCCACAAAGGTTCCACTCCTCATGGTTGCCTGTGCAACACCTCCAGGCCCTGGAGGCTCTAGGGGGTGGAGTGGCAGCGGTCAACCGCCATGGAGAGTTCCTACTCCTGGGTACTTAGTATCTCTAGAGGTTATTGGTCTTGCAGGTGGTCGAAGAGCAAGGAAGGTTCCTCAGTGGGAACTCTTACCACCTCTAAGTGTTTGATCTTGCAGGTGGTCGGAGGCCACGAAGGGGTCCTCCTCAGAGACTTACTACCACCTACCACCACTAGGGGTGCTCTGGCAGGTGGTCTAAGGCCACGGTGCTAGGAGGCCGCGTCCGTTGGCGCTGAGCTCCTCTATATTGACAGGTCCCCGCCTCCTTTCTCTTGCATTTATAATCACCCTCCCTTCCCCCCTCCCCCTCACTACCCCCTATCTGGTCGTCGATCACCCCGCCGCGGCGGCCCGCAGCCCCCGCCCGCGCGCCCCGGACCTCAGCCATCAGTTACAGAGCGTTAGTTTGGCGAGCCCCGCGGCGACGCTTGACAGAGTCATCTGGCCTAAAGGCATCGATCGTACTTTCATTATTCGATTCTGTGGAAGGGAAATTATCCGAAGGAATGATTGTGATGAATGGAGCGCTCTGTCCGCTCCAGGCGCGCCGCCACGTCGTCGTCCACCCTCCACCACCGCCGCACCGAGGCCGCTTTAATTTTCTGGCATTGTCCTGCTTTTATTGAATATCCCTGGTTAGTTGTCTTTGTTTTACACGGCTCTTGTGTGTCGGTTTTTGAAGGAGGCGGACAATAAAGCGCGGCTGTTGTGTATGTGATGTGATGTCTGTGAGAGTGTGTTCGTGCAGAGTGATTAAATTCCGGGCTGTACTACTCTGCACTTTGTCGGAATATTCAGGATACCTTGATTCATCACGAATACGAAAAGCGGCTGCTCGTTGAGGGAGTCATCGGAGCCTCACATTCATGAAATAACATAATGACAACGCGCTGCTCGCGGAGCAAGCCGGTTTGGAGAGCTCGTTTGTCTGTTCGTCCTCCCCCCATCATCCCCACTCTCGTCCTTGCTCCTTGGCGCACCGCCCTCGACGGAGGTCAGCGGTAATTTTTCAGTAGGGACACGACGCGGCCTGCGCGACGACGGCGCGGCGATGGCGCGAAGGCGAAGGGGTTTTGTCGTTCGGCCGCGCTCTTTGTCGTGTCGGCCGGGAAGGGTTTTAATTTTAATTGACTTCCACCACCTGTGTTTCAGTGGAGAGAAGGAGGGAGAGGGGAAACAACACAGAAAAATTCGCCTTCTTGGCGCAAACCGACAGGAGGAGAGAAAAGGAGTCAGTCGGGCGAGGCCCTTCACCTGTTGATGACCTTTGCAACAACAGATCTCAGATCCCTCTCTTTTTTTGACTAACAACGAAGGCGACAGCAAGTAGTCCTCGGTGTAAAAAAAATAGAATGGTTATTTGGTGCTACAAAGAATGTAAGTCAGCAGACAAAGGAGCAAGACGAGCAAGATACTTAATTTGGCGAATCTCTCGCGGTAACCTTTGCGTTCGACGACTGCTTATTTTCTCGAAATACAGTTCCAGTCACGGAGTTGAACAGAGGGCTGCCGTCTTCCACATCGAGGAGATTAGCCTAGAGACTTGGGGCGAAATAGAGATTAAGTAGTGTATCAGGATTTCTCATTTGACCCTCCTGCCGGGCTGGTGTTGGTTCTCGTCTTTCGGAAAAAGGGGTGCACGCTAAAGAGGGAGGAAAAGGGGAAGAAAAAAAAGCTAAGACAAAAGCAATAAAAGAAGAACAAAGAAAGGGGTAAGGCAGGAACAAACACTTCTTGGAGGGAAACCCAACACCAGCGGAAGGGAAGCCGCAGCGGCGGCGGGGTGAGACACCCTCCGAAGGTGCCGGCCATAAATCGCTAATCAAAAAACGTTTTCTTATTTACATTCGTTCTTTTTCCTCTTTTACTTCTCCTTCGCGCCCCGTGGCCCTGGCCGCCGCCGCCGCCCCCTGCTCATCTCACCCTTTCCCTTTTTTTCCAACCCCTGAGGCCGCGTCGGTTCGTGTCTTAATCTCATCTCGATACTCCCTTTCGCCCTCTCTTCCCTGCTGTTCTTATTTTCCGAGGCGCGGCGGGGCGTTTGTTGTCTGCTGATCCCTCCCCCCTTTCCTCCACCCTCGCCGCCCTTCCTCCGTGCCATCCCTTCATGGTCCACTCTGCGCCCCCTCCCCCCCGCGGGCAGGGCAGGGGTTTGAGGCGCCCCCTGCCCCGCCTCACCCCACCATACGGACTGGGGCGTCCATAGCGGCCGTAATCCGCAATCATCAGCTTGAGCCCCAGCGGTGGCCGGAGCGAGTAGGGACGAGGCGGAGCGGGGCGGGGCGTCATCGGGTGGGGTGGCCGGCCCCCGCAGGGGGTGGGTGGGACAGGCCTCGGGGGGAAAGGCAGGTGCATGATAAGGGTGTGATTTCTCTGCCCGTGGCACCCGCTGCGGCATTGGGTCACCCAACCCTGCCGAGCCGAGGTCTCTTGTCATTTCCTATTCCTTCTCCGTTTTCCATCCCCCCCCCCCCCTACTACAGTGTCCCTTGTCTTTTGATGCCTCCCTCTCCTCTCCCTTGCACTGGCCCCTCTTTTCTTGCTTTCTCTCCCTGTTTGCACAACTAGTCTAGCCCGAGGCTATAGTTATTTTACCTAAAATCTCTTTTTGTTTGCAGACTGAAATTGCCAAGCGATTAAATGCAATAATCGCCCAGGTCCTCCCATTCCTAGCACAAGAGGTAAGCATGTTTTCTATGATTGAGATTGAGATATGGTTTCTTGCAACCGAAATTTTTCTTATTTTTATAATTTATCCTTTTGTTTTATTACAGCACCAACAACAAGTTGCAACTGCAGTGGAACGTGCAAAGCAGGTTACAATTTCTGAACTCAACGCTATTATTGGGGTGAGATTTTTTGTTTTTCTTGTTTCCTCTATTGGTGGCTTGGTTGATAATGTAGAAATGTCTTGACTGGGTACTGTATATTGAATGAATGCATAAAATGTAAAGAAATGCACCGATGGATTAAAAAGGGAACTTGTGATTGATTCACATCAGGAATTTCTTCCCTGTACGGGTGTAAAATCATTGAAGTATAGTCTATCATCCCGCTGAACATACCTGCATGTTAATATCTTGAGTCTTTTAAATTATTGTTTTTCATTTTGGACAGTATGCATTTTGCACGCAACCCGTAACTTCTGAAGCATGATTAAATCTATCAGTGTTTTTATCTTGTATGGATTCCTGTTGGGTTTCTCTATATCTTATTCTTGTCATTTTGACCAAAACTTGAGCCCACGTTATTGTTTTTCGTAAACTAGAACTATTTTCAAATTTGGGGAGTTTGGTTTTTGAAAATTGAAGAACATTTTAAAAATAAATTCATTAATCAGTTTGAAAGATAGTTTTTTTAAAACATTTAAGGTGACATTTTAATCAACTAGTCATTTTTTTAAAAATTACGGATACAAAAATATGTGGAAAATGTCAAGGTTTTAATTTAATATCTTAATGCTGAGGAGCTGGTTTTTTTCTTCTATTACGCTGTTTACTTCCTGAAGTAGTGTGTGGTAGAGGTGATGGTTTGCTGATGTTGGTATTGTTTGCCCCATTAGCAACAACAGCAGCAGGGACTTCAACAACTTCTGGTAAGTGGCAGTATAATTGCTGCTTGCTCTTTCTGTCTATCTCTCTACCTACTGCAGCTCCTTATCATCTTTTGACATACTTGGCCACATTCTGAAATTATTGGTTTCTAGAGAATGTATTTTAAAATGATTGACATCCTATACCCTTGTGGGAGACTGTTAATGTAAATGCTTGCTGTTGTTGTCCATATTTTAATTTCTTGGTTGTGGTGGCTCAAGTTCTGTTTACAAATCTATATCTTGGTTTCTGGTTTCTTAGGGACTTTAAACTTTATGTTGTGTCATGGTGAGCGGAAAGTTAAGAAAAAATACCCATTTCTTTAGTGGACCTTTGTTTCTTTCCAGCAACAGATTCACGCCCAACAGCTTCCTCACGGCGCACATGGGGCTCACCCTGGAGCTGCCCCAGGCCTGGGCTCCCTAGGGCCTCACCCTGGGTTGGGACCTGGAGGTCTTCTGTTTCCAGGTGCCTTAGGCCCAGGAGCGCCGGCACACCCGTTACTTAAACCAGACCTGCACGCCCGAGAGCCCACTGACCTGGCCACTAAGGGGCCAAGCTCTTTACCAGATGACAGACTGGTACGTAATGTAAGCATTAACATCAAGTACTCAAGTTTTCTCTACCTAAAAATAACAAAATGTCTGGAACAAATCTAATTTTTTAAATTTAATTTTTTGGTTTCCAGAGAACCTCAGTCTCTCCTGGCCAAAGGGACAAATACAGAACCCGAACTCCTGAATCTAGTGATGTGAAGAGAAGGAGAGAGGATAAGTTAAGTCATCATGTGAGTATTTCTGGTATACAACCTATTTCGATTATATGCTTAAATCATCTTTGTTACTTACAATTTTATATATTTTCTCAGGGAAGTGAAGGGGAGAAAAGTGATGCAGATGCTGATCCAGATTTGGTAGTAGATGTAGCAAATGAGGTTGGTATAGTTAATGCAAGTTAAACATTATTATTGAAGGATATATTAAGGATTTGGTATGATATTTCTTTTAACATTTCAGGATCCTAACTCTCCTCACGCTAATGGAGCCCATGCTGCTGATGTACGAGAAAATGGTGACAAAAGTTCTGGAAGTAGCAGAGATCGAGAACGAGACAGAGATCGTCCACCAAGCAGAAGTGGCTCCAGCTCAAGTCGCAGCACACCCTCCCTCAAAAGTAAAGATGTAAGGCCCGACCCAGAGTTAATCTTCTGTTGCCGATTATTTTTGCTTCCAGCACCTACAACAATTCTGACTTTTGTTACATTTATTTGCTCTGCAAATATGTTTGAAACTCTTCTCAGTTTTGATACCTAATTGTAAAACTGTATATTATTTATACTTCCATCACTTTTATCTTTGCTGGAAGTGCTTTAACTTTTTTAACTCCCTCAAATGCACATGAAGAAAATTGTATTTTCTTCAAAAGTAAAAACATCAGGATGGCATGAGAGGAGACTGAAGCTTTCTCTCAAGCTGTTGATGTGCTTGTGTGCCTAACATACTAGAAATATGTTAGTATTTGATGTTAAATTGTATCCTGGTGCCGTTTACCAGACCAGTTTGAAAATTGCCACCAGTAATTTACCCCACATCGCTTTTCCTACCCAACACTTAACAAGCTGCTTCTTTACGAATTTTACATCATACTAACAACCATACACACACCAAGGATAAGGTCTTTATCATGCTTCTTGCTTTCTATTCAGTCACCCCATCCCTCATCAATACAATCAGTTTATTCTCTCTCTGTCTTGAGGAATCACAGACAGGGTAACTCTTTTTATTTGCGAGCTCCAATAGACAATAATATCGTTTTCAGGCGGACAAACCCCCCACCCCACACCCCACTCCTAGCGGTGTGGGGCCCAAGGGTCTCCACCCACCTTTCTCCCCAGCGCCGGCCCCAGCCCCTGGAGCAGGCGCACCCAGCCCCTACAATACCCCATCGCCGTCCCCCTACGCAGCACGGGCGGGTGGGCCAGGCCTGGTACGCTCCTGGCATGATTCTCATTTTCTGAATTGAATTTTATTCATTAGAAGCATGTGCTTTAGTAGTGAATCAATAATTTTCCTTCTCTCATTTGTTAAATTAAAACATCCTTTAAACATAGTAATGAGATTGTAGAAGCCTCTTTAGAACTTGATGGTAAAAGAGATGACTCCATACATAAGAAATGTTTTGATCAAGTCAAAATAATCGTCATTGACTCTGCCATTTTACATCTTCATTCCTTGGATTGTATACTGCTTTGCCCTAACCTTGTCATTTATGTATCATCAAGCTGCCTTATCTTCCCAAGCAACTCAGATTGAGCAATTATGGGTGGAAATGTAGTAGAGTGACAGTTTGTTGCCATTACCTATTTCATCCTGTGGAGATTGAAATATGTTGTGGTGACTAATTGGTAGCAATGTCACTGGACTACAATTTGACCAATTATTGATAAATCTGTTTTACTTGGGTTTCTACCATTAGTTACTGAACTCTAGAGCATATTTTTTCATAGACCTGATTATTTTTATTTTTAAATGCATGTATGGAAAACATAAAATTTCCTCAATTACATTTCTTTTATACTTGTCTTTCTTCCTATCTCTTTAATTAAGTAAACCTAGCTCTTGCTGTTATTTAATTAAAGTAAAATACTCTTCTTCATGTTAAAGCAAAGGTGCCTTCTACACACCTTATATATTTGTGGAAATTTAACAGCTTGCCTTTTTATTTTATTACTTTCACAATGTTTGTGCTTAGGTATTATTTTCCTTTTATTTGAGATGTTTACTCTTAATTACTATTGCAGCTTGGATTTGATGCTCACCCTGGTACACGAGCACCACCTCATGGAGCTAATGGGTTGGGTCTCCCTAGTGGCAAACCGTAAGTTATGTTTTCTTGAGATTGATGTATTGTTTTTTCTTACTTTACGTATAATCATACTTTCATTTTTATTCTTAGGGCATATTCATTTCACATGAATGGTGATGGCCAGCTACAGCCTGTACCTTTCCCTAATGATGCCCTTTCTGGTCCTGGAATCCCACGACATGCAAGACAAATTAATACACTTGCTCATGGTGAAGTAGTCTGTGCAGTCACCATTAGTAATCCAACAAAGTATGTTTATACTGGTGGAAAAGGTTGTGTAAAGGTTTGGGACATAAGCCAACCTGCTAGCACCACTCCTGTTAGCCAGCTTGACTGTCTGGTAAGTAGTATTAAATCAGGAATCAGTCATTTTACTAAGCCACACCTGTTGTAATTTTTTTCTTTTTTTTTCCTATTAGCAAAGAGATAACTACATCAGATCAGTAAAGCTTCTGCCAGATGCTCGCACCCTTATTGTTGGTGGAGAAGCAAGTAATCTTAGTATTTGGGATCTAGCATCTCCTACACCAAGAATTAAGGCTGAGTTAACATCAAGTGCTCCTGCCTGTTATGCTCTTGCCATTAGTCCAGATTCAAAGGTATGTATGACAGACTTTTTGAATGTAGTTATTCAGTTGCTTTTGCCTTCAAAGACTGAACTCAAATTATTTTTTTGTCAAATCTCTGTAGGCATGCTTTAGCTGTTGCTCCGATGGCAACATTGCTGTTTGGGACTTACACAACCAAACCTTAGTTCGACAATTCCAAGGCCACACTGATGGAGCGTCCTGCATAGACATTTCTTCTGATGGTACTAAATTATGGACTGGTGGTCTAGATAACACAGTTCGCTCTTGGGATTTGCGGGAAGGTCGGCAGTTACAACAGCATGATTTTAACTCTCAGGTAATATTGTGAAGCACTTTTGTGAATTTGTGGTTTTCTGCTGTCAAACCAAGTTTTATTGTTTAATATATTTTCATTGTTATCTAATTGTTTAGATATTTTCTCTTGGCTACTGCCCAACTGGTGAGTGGTTAGCGGTTGGAATGGAGAATTCAAATGTGGAAGTTTTGCATGCTGTGAAGTCGGACAAGTACCAATTGCATCTTCACGAATCGTGTGTTCTGTCATTGAAGTTTGCTGCATGTGGGAAATGGTTTGTGTCAACTGGCAAAGACAATCTCCTAAATGCATGGCGAACACCTTATGGCGCTTCCATATTTCAGGTATTATTATTTAATTGGGTAATCCTTCAAAATTTCGTATTTAACTCTAATTATACAAAAATTATTAAATTGACAATTTTTTTCAGTCAAAGGAAACTTCATCTGTACTCAGCTGTGACATTTCTGCTGATGACAAGTACATAGTTACTGGGTCAGGAGACAAGAAAGCAACGGTTTATGAAGTTATGTACTGAAGATGCTGTGAAATTTTGAGTGGCTTGAATGAACTAAACAGTGACAAGTGCTACTTTTACTCTACTCAAGATTCATCTTTTATTTCATCAAGAGAGCATGTCTCAAACTATGAGTGGAGTGAAAATGCTTAATTGTACGTATAAAGTGAATCGCGGGTGCTCTCCAAGTGTTCGTCTTCTTTGGATATGTATTAAAATACATACCAAAAGCGCTAAAATTTAATTTCTAGTTTCATGTACAGTAATAGCTGAACTAGTTTAACTGTAAGGCCAATTGTGTGAATCATTGTGTTACTTAATGCGTGTTTATGGGAAGCAACATTTATTGTTTGTGTTCCTGTTTGAACTTCATCAGCAAGTTCAACCCTCATTTTGAACTTTGAGAACACTCATGTTGATTGTTTTTTCATAGTTCATTTTAAAAATGGTATCCATTTTATAGCCAAAAGTCTCTTGCAGAGTTTTAGATTAATTTTTGTAATGGTTTTTCAATGCTGTAGAAGTGTGATACATGTTGACCATTTTTCTGTTGTTTAAGTTTAACTCCTCAGCAGGAAAGCTGGCAGGTACCAGCTGCCACAATTATTTATACTTAATTATTTATGATGATACAAGCAATTTTTGTAAGTCAATTCTTTTTCTTGGCTGTCCGTTTTGAAACCGTGGTTCATTAAAGCAGCTGCAAGTCAAGCTCTCTAGGTACACTTTTGTGATAGCTAAAATTGCTTTTATAATTTTGATCCATCATGATACCTAATTTTCACTGACTTTTATAGAAAATTTTGCTGCTGTGTCCTGGTAGCAGCCAATATCAAAACCTCATTTAATAGTGCGAACGTCACATTGTTGAGAAGGTTTTCTGTTTGTGAGTTATTAATGAAATCATGTGCGTGAGTTATTCTTAATTATTGCATCTGTGATGTTCCTTGACTTGTTTTTTTAGCTCTTAGACATTTCTCACCCATGATCTGAAATTCAGTATTACTTTTTTTTTCATGGTTCTTTTTGAAAGAGATTCAGACAAGCCTCCAAGCAATCAATTATTTGTGTCTATAAATAGACGTTACTATTACAGTACTGCAGTTTCAAATTAAATCAATGTACTTGTGCGTTCTTCCTAAGAACACAACTCCAACTGTATTTGTTACAACATAAACCTCTAAAAACCCCTGATGGTATGTAACAATCCCAACTTTCTTTGCAGTAAATTCTACAGAAATGTGTTCCTCTTTGTCTTTTTATGTCTGATACAATTAGTTGTTCGTGCTATTAAAAGCCTGAGGTGCTATAGTACAAAAGTTCATAATGATGTGGAACCAGAAACACATTTACGTGGCCTACATATCAGAATGATCAGTGACAAACTGCTTCCTCTATTTTCATTTCTTTTTCTTTTTTCTGTTTCAATGAAAAACTGTAAGTGCATATGTGATACAATAAGGTTCAAATGTAGTTAAGCGCACAGGTGTTATAATACACACCACTAGTGTTGTGTGTGTGTTTGTGTGTGTGTGTGAATGTATGCAGATTTGTGATCAGTGAGATTGTTGTATTGTTTCTGCTGTTGTATGGGTATTTGCATTGGAGCCTTAATTTAGTATTAGAATTGTGTACTTCCAATGTTGTTCTTGCCTTTAGTGCAGGATTACACAACAAACTTGCAAATAGTGTAATATGAAGAATTTTATAGTAACTGTTGCTCTGTTGTGTAATTTATTTGTGAAGATATCTCTCCATATTATGTTCAACATTAGACTGTTGATGCAAAGGTTTTCGGAAGGAAAATATTATATTTTGTCTCATAAACTTTGTAAATTTATTTTCCTTGTACTAAAACTCTAGCTTTGGGGGGTTTCTTTTTCTGTATGATTTGTATAATTGACACTTTAATCCTGTCGACACCAATCTTACCCAGTGCGAAAAAGTTACAAAAGTAACATTATTACTCTCTGTGGGAACCAGGTGAAATAGAAATAGTCACAAATAGTCAAATAGTACTCATTATGGACTCTCTACACTTACTAGCACACTCTCAGGTGGGTCAACCAAGTTTACCTTGCACTGAAGTTGTGAAACTTCTGTGTAGGTTAGATAAAATTACCATATCAAAAGTATATTTATCTTTTGTTGAGTTACCAATGGCTCTACTTCTGGTTAGCTTCATATGTATGGTACTTTCATTCATTCTCACTTCAAGTGTTCTTATCCTGAGAGGAAAATTAATATATACAGATAGGATCAATTTTATGAACTTTATTCTTTGATCTTTCACAGTCCTCTTACTCATAACATTTAAAAAATTCATCATTGGAACAAATCTTAAATAACTATGAGATACCTAATAACATTATTTTACCATGCGCAAATAAAACAGCACCATCAATAATGCACAACTATTTGTTTGACCCAACGAACAGGTCCATATTTTGAACTGTGCAAAAGTCTTGGATAGTTTAGGTTTGAGAAGTAATAAGTCATTCTTATCACAGCCACAATTTAATAGTAGGTTTTTATGAATTTATAAGGCGAGGGCCCTTGTTCCATGATGAATTGATGATACATCATCCCATAACAGAACAAACAAAAATTCATGAGTTTTAAAGGAATGGTAAAGATAAGTTTGTCACAGAGAGTAGACTGTCGGGGAAGCAACATTTTCTACTACTGGGCAGTTATGTGATGTATAACAAATCTTGCAGTGGAAGTTAAAGGAAAATACTAAGCAAATATTTTTCCAAGGTACCTGACTTTTTCATTTATGTAGAGAAATCCTTATTTTGAGGATAACACTTTCAGAATTATATTGATGGCAAGATGAATGAACAATAATAGTCTGGACAGAGTTCTGAATACACAGTCAAATATATGACAACAGTCTTATTTATTCTTGTTGACAGTCTGCTTACTGCAGCTCCACACTGCTAAAAGTGAGAATTAAATATTAAGAAATACTTGTTATCGAAAAATATGACAAGACGTTATCACATCCTGTTCCTAATATATTATTTCCTTCTACAAATTTTTGGGTCTTTCTACCGACTCTATCCAGACTGGATAGATGTTAAACTAACATCTTTCATTATTTTGACACGACTATTCATAGTTGAATTCCAGCCCTTCTTTTATTTTAATTGGCAAAAAAATCTTTTGCTATCCATCTTCAAACAATTAAGAAAGGCACTCCCCGGAGAAAAGGGAGTCGTATAAGCCACTACCATTCAGTCTTCAGGAAACATACAGCATTTTGTTAATGGTCACAATCTCTATCTATCTTCTCTGCCATAAGCATTCAAAACTCTTGACATGCCTATGGTTTGTAATAACTATTGATTCACAGTGGTATTTGTTCACAGTGTCTTGATCCCCAAAAATCATAATGCGTCCTTAAGATAGTGATTTACAGAGACAGCTTGTTTTAGGAGAGCATCACACAAATATTTTACGAAAGTTTATCACGTGTGTCCGTTTACCGAAGTTCAATTTAAAGCTGTCTCTGAAATCACTGACTCATTTCACTCGAAATCCTCTTGAGGCAATATCACGGGCGGGCCGATAACTCCCACGGCGACATGGGAACGAAGGCCCCGTCTGTCCTCGCCCATGGGTGTAAGGGATGGGTTGGGGTGGACTGGGGGGCTGGCACAAGGGGGAGGGGGATTGGGGCGGTGGGAGGGGCCGGCGGCGGGGTGTGAAGGTACGACTTGACGAGCTGCTGGAAGTTGACGGAGATGGTGACGGGATGGAGCACGACGCCAGGCTGCACTGTGCCCGCCGTCGACCCGCTGTCGCGCGCGCTGCCGCCGTCGGACAGGAGGTCGACGTCCATGTAGGGCGCCAGCGTCTCGTAGGACACGGTGAGCGGGATGTAGAACGAGCCCTTGGCGTGCAGCACAAAGATGGGCACGCTCGCCTGGGTCTGCTGGCTGGACGGGTGCGACGGGGCGGTCGTGGCGGCGGGCGAGGAGCTGCGCATCCGCTTCATCGAGATGCCCACCCCGCCGTGCTCCTCGGAGAAGCGCTGCTTGATGGTGTTTTTGAACTTGTAGCTGTGTTGGGAGTGCGAGTCGGGGTACGAGTGGTGGTTGCCGCCGGGGTGGTCCGCGTGCGGGTGTGGGCTGTGACGGTCGTCGTGGGGGCCGCCCTCGTGGACCTCGTCCGCGTAGTGCTGCTGGTGGCCGCGCATCCCGTGCCCAGGGTGGTACTGGTGGTGTGAAGGGGAGGGGGAGGGGGGCGACGAGCACAGGATGTCTCGGAGCTGCGAGGCGGCCATGCTGGCCATGCTGGCGGCCAGACCGTGGTGTTGGTGGGCCAGGGGATGTCCTTGAGCGGGCGAACTCTGGGTCTCGTCGGGGCTGGTCCCCGGCACGCTCTTGAACCCTCCGCCCCCGCCACCGGCGCTGCCGCCCCCGCTCGTCGTCGGCCCGTAGCTGCTGTTGCTCCCCGACGACGAGGTGGCCTCGCCCGGCTGCCGCGTCCGGGGGAAGTTGAGGCGGTCACCTGCGGGACAGATGGAATTCGTCAGAATTAACAAAGAACACTTGGCGGACTTGGCGTCCTTTTTGTGCTACAGCGCGATTCTTATCAGGATTGTACAGGCTAGCCCATCGACGCAGTTCTTTATTTTGGTTATAGCGACAGGATGCAGGCAGGCGAACCGGCCTATCGTCGCTTACCGAGGCGCCTTAGGGACCATCCAGAAAGTACACCCGTCATTCACCGTTACGAACCTATCAAGTTGAGCCTCTGCGAGCTCCCATAGCGCCTGATAGGTAGGCAACATCTCGCCTGTAGTGCATACATGTATTGCGGGGCGGCCTACCCTGCGTCTCGCAGGCGCCTTAGAGAAAACGGTCGTACTTTCTAGACGATCCCTCACGTCCCCTTGCGAGTATGCAACTCGCACGCACTCCCGAATCCGGCCCGGTATAACCAGAAGAAAGAAAGGCACCGATGGGGTCCCAGTATGGGGTCCTGGTGGGCTATGCTGGGCACCTCACCTTTGACGATGCGGTCGCAGTGCTTCTGCAGGTGGCTGATGAGCTTGACGCAGAGCGAATCCTTGGCGAGGTAGCCCTCGACCTCTACGAGAAAGTGCATGGCCTCCTGCATGCACTCCTGGTAGCCCAGGCGGTAGTGTTCGGTGACGATGGGCCGCACGACGGGTCTGAGAGCGGAGTCCGCGGGCGGAGGGGTGGTGGTGGTCTCGGACGCGGCCTCGGTCTCCGCGGCCTCTCCGCGGTCCGAGCCGGGCGACTGCTCGCACTTGGTGACGCGCAGGTCGCCGGGGCCGGGCCCTGCGGTACTGCAGTCTGCGGAAAGCAAAAGGAGGCCGTCAGGATCTAGTCGACATCGAACCGACGTCAACACGGCAAAATTGACGTCGCTCCGAGATCGTTCCGATGTCATTCCGTTCGTCGCACTCACCGACGCCCGCCGCCAGGTTGGCGCGGCTCTGCAGGTACTGCATGTGCTTGATGGCCATCTCTATGATCTCGGTCTTCTCGACGCGACCTCGGCCCTTCTTCAGGTACTCGGCGGGGATGAGGCGCGACAGGTCAGCCAGACAGTTGTTCATCCGATCTCTGCGTCGCTTCTCGATGATCCGGTGCGACATTGGGTCCTGGATCAAGAGAGGAGGAAGAATATGCTGTAGATCATTACACTCTTTCTGGCTTTAAAAGTGTACATTACTCCAAAGAAAAAATATTAGTTTCCTGAGATACACTGCAAACATATAAAATTCTGGTAGGTCCCCTCTAAATATGCAAAATTTCAAGCGCGATCTAGAGGGAGCACGGACCGTATGTGATTGACTTTGATTGTAACAAGGAGGAACAGGACGTTATGGCAAAATTACCAAACCCAAATTTAAAAACTACTATTTTCCCCAATTTTTGTTTCACTAATTAAAAAAAAAACAAAAAAACGTACGTACTCAAAAAATAGCGGGTATGAAGCCACTACTTACCAAAATTCTGTAAAACCCTCTAACGGCACCTGCAAACCCACCAGATTGTATTTTACAGTGTAGCTCTAAAATAGTCACAAGAAAGCATGCATAAAGAATATCTAGACATAGCAACCTCATCAGCATAGCAGTACAGTGCACTGCACCGACTAAAAGCAATCTCAGTAAGTGAGAAATCAGCAAATCAGAAATCATGCTAGAACCACCATTCACGTTTTTCTAAATGGTGATTCATGCATACAATTTGTTGAGTTTTGAGTAATGCCCTGATGTGATAAGCTTGTATCTAGTTAGAGAGTATAACTAGTTCTTCGCGCCAGTAATATTCGTGCCTCTTATCGTTGCACGTCTAACTCTTTACCGGTTGGCTGGGCAGTCCCCCTCCCCCCTCCCTGCGTAAGGTACTAAAATTGATACTGTGGGGCCTCCACGGCCACGTGCCGTATGTTCTCGAAATGGGTATCGTTATAGTCTTGGCGAGGTTCGGGTCACGTCGGGTCGGACCTGGTGGCGCATTCCGTGTCTGTGAAGCGCACGACGTGTCGGAGTAGGCGCGCGTGCGGGCGAGGTCACCGCGCCTGCCGCGGCCGCGGGATCGGGCCACGGGGACGGTAAGGAGCGGAGCAGGGCTTCCGCGGGACGGCGCGGGGTGGGGCGGGGCGAGGCGGAGCGGGGCGGGATGAGGCGACGTCGCCGGGGCGATCGCAGAGTGTGCGGACGTGCGCCCTCCCTGCGCTCATGACCATCCGCGCGTAGCTGCGGCTGCATCGCGTCGTATCCAGTGGCGGCGGAGGCGCGGTGCAAGTCCGCACACGCGCGGCGCGCAGCCCCCGCGCCCCGCGTCCTTCACACGCCTTGCCACGCCTCAGGCCGCCCCGCCCCGCCTGAAGGTAAAGTAAGAGTCTAGGCTTCTAACGACACCACTTTATGGGGCGCGGGCTGCGGCGCTGACAGCGGCCT